TTAGAAAACACAAGTACTGACTGAATTTCACCCACTTCAACAAAACTTTATTTTATTTCATATTGCTCAATAAATTTAGATAATTTTTTAAAGTTAGAAACTGAACTTAAACACTATTAATTTACAATTTCTTATGCTGCAAAGACGTCATTATGCTCATCTATTCAATGAATTACATTTTGCCAACTATTTACTCGATGACAGGCATCAAAATTTGCTTTCAAACTCACTTCCAAATTTAGCAAATTCAGCATTTGGCTATCTACACCCTCCATCTCTGGTACGTAATGGGCATGAAGATTCACAAACACGAGTAATCGGATTGATTGCAACATCATTGTCCAAGACAGAATCAGAGATGTACAGCTCTTATATATTTTCTTGCTGCAAATATACAGCACTTTCCTTGTCTGAAGCCGGATATGTTGTTTTCGATTCCAACGCATTCACCATCTTCTGAAAAGTATACCTTACAGCCCAGCGATTGCATAGCTCGCTTTATAGCTGCACTTTCCTTTTTGGCTCGCTCAGCCAAATTCCAGGCTGAGCTGCTAGAGATCTTCTCATTTGTAAAACGCAATGGACTCGACGGCAGACATATAACTTTAGACTCTGCTACTTCTTTTGCCTGTTAACATTTGAGAATGTGTAATTGATAAGAAAAAAGAGAAAAATGAATTATAATTTTAACGGGGGACAGACAAGGACAATAATCCAAAATAATTTATAATTTATGTACAAAAATTCAATTTGATAGTTCGCTCAAGGATTTCTTGTTGTGGTAAGAGCAAAAATTAAAGATTCAGACGCTAGGAACAAATGACAAGTTGGCTAGGAGTTTAGTACTCCCTAAATGAAACAATAACGCAATAAAGAGACATCAAGCTGCAGTATAATTGACAAAAACTTTAATATATTATTCTTATCTAAATATGCTTTAATCCACCTTCTCAAAGGTGCCGCCGTTATAAATTCTATACCCAGACAGTTCTTTTGGAAGCACGATAATTTACATTTTACAAACAAAACCTTCAGAAAAGTAACAAAATTAACAGCATTACCTATTCTTGTTCAAGAAATGATACAAATATATAGCATCTATGATGGAACAGATTAAGCAAAATGCTACAAAAAGTTCTGGCCAGTAGTAAATTCCAGAAGACCAATATAGAAATTTAAATGAGTCAGGGAAACATTCAAATTCAAGCCAAACACTAGATGACAGTATGACGCTCACCAACTTATTAAACTCGAAAGACCATGCTCGAATAGGAAGCATTGGAATTCCAGTGTGCATGAATCATGGAGGAGAAAGCTCAATAAGGTGACTTGTATACAATACTTGACATACAGTAACAACTGTACAATAACTGCATAAAATATAATTTGGATAGCAAATCACAAGCATTAAAACCAATCCATGGCCAAAGGAGAAACTTGTCACGGACTGCGTTTTTGGGAGTTTCAATCCAATGCCAATGAGGGT